GCCTGGGCTGCCCAAAATGAAGGGAAGGACATCCAGGGTGTCTTCCTGGCTCCAGGTGTGCAGGGACCCTGTCACCCTATGGCAGGACCAAGGGCTGTGGACAGGTGTCTGCAGAGAGGAAAGTGGTTGGAAATCTGATGTGTTCACATAGGTACTCATGAAGATTTAGACTCTGGGGAGAGCAGTGGAATGAACCTGTGAAACCTGACAGAGTGGTCCCATGCCTGAATTAGGACCAGATGTCATGCCATGTAATGACCAACCACCCCCTACCCTAGTGCTGACCAATCATTGGAGACCTTTACCCTATGTCCCAAAGTCCCCTATGCAGGCCATCCCCTAGAAGCCATCAGGGAGCCAGGTCTCAGAGCAATAAATCACCTGTGACCCAGGTTTGGTGGCACTTCCTTAAATAAACCTTTACTTGCTTTTTATTCCTTTTTCTTTTTCTTTTATGCTCACCTGAGGACATTATCTTTTCATTGGTCACAGAGAGAGAGGCACAGAAAGAAAAAAAAACATTGATGTGAGACAAAAATATCCATTGATTTCCTTCCATAGGCACCAGGACTGGGAATCTTATGCACAAACGAGGTTGTGCCCTGACCAGGAATCTACTTGCAACCTTTCAGTTAAGGGATGATGCTCCAGCCAAAACTGAGCTACACCGGCCAGGGTAAACCTACACTTTCTTTGTTGCAGACTCCTGTTTGCATTGGATTGGGTTTTAATGTGCACAGGTGAATGGACCTATTTAGTTTAGTAATATTTGTCATTTATAGCTTTTTAACATTTTATAATTTTATAGAGAATATACCTCCATCATATAAATTGCATATTATCTATCTACACAGAATTAATTTAAAAGCTTTGTTTACAAGTATAGAAGGGAAGGCAGATGAGAAAGAAAGGCAAGAGCTCAGCTCAGGGCTGACAGTGCTGGGCTCCATGTCTGGACTCTGGACAATGAACTTGCACAACTTCCCCCACTCCTCACTCAGGGTGTTGCCCTCTGTGGAGGCCAACCTGGGTCTTTCCTTTCTTTTGAGGTGTGGTCATTTGTGTCTCATCAGCTCTCTGTTGCTTTTAAGAAGTTGGTTTTTGTATTATACATGGAATTTTGAGCTCATTTCAGTGGGAAGACTTGTCCATACAGTCCAGCCAAGTTTGTCAGGACTGGAATTTCTAAGACAAGTGGTTGGTCATAGAGAAGAGGATCAGAGTGTGAATCTTAAATTGTGATGTGAGGATGGTCTGTCAGGAGTTTTATAAGTGTAGGGATTTTATGTAACTTGTTTTTTGAAAAACATTATTCATGCACATACAAGAGGTTTCAACAGACACTCAGGAATACACAAAATAAATGACTCACACTGTCCCCCTGGCCCCTCAGTCACCTAAGTCCTATCCCAGGAAAACTTCACAGGGAGTTACTTCTGATTCTTCCTCCCAGGAAACCTTCACAGGGAGTCACTTCTGATTCTTCCTCCCAGGAAATCTACCTGTGCATTAATGTTGCTGTTATGTCCATGAAAAAGGACATAACAGACTGGGAGAAAATGCCCACAGACTGGGAGAAAATGTTTGCAATTCAATTCTTTCAGAATATACATAAGAAGCCTCAACTCAACAATAGGAAAAACAATAAACCAAACAAAAATTAATCTAAATTTTAATCAGACACCCCACTAAAGAATTTATGCCTGCTTTGTCCAGGTGGTTCAGTTGGTAAGAGGGTCATCATAAGAACCAAAATGTTGTGGGTTCAATCCCTGGTCAGAGTGCCTAGGGGAGGCAACTGATCAATGACTCTCTCTCTCTCTCTCTCTCTCTCTCTCTCTCACACTGTCACACACACACACACACACTAAAATCAATTAACATAGCCTTTGGGGACAATTTTTGTAAGGCTGCAGTAGAACAGTAGTTTTGCTATGGCTGCAGCAGCCTCATACATGTGTTTACTGGGTCACTCAAGGGCGTCATTTTCTCCTGTGTTGATTTAATCTCCTGCTGCTTTGTTCAGTAACGTGCTGTGCAGGTTTGTAGCCCAGGAGCAACAGGCTGAGTTCTGCAGTCCAGGTGAGCAGTAGGGAGACCATCCAGGTGTAAGAGCATCTGTGCTGTTTCCACAACCACAGCATCACACAACCACACATTTCTCAGGGTGGATCACCACCGTTAGATGGCACATGAGTGATATAAGTGCATCAAATAAACACACTGGGCACCTTACACTTACACGAGGTTGTCTGTCAGTTATATTGGAATTTAAAAATAAATTTCAGTGTGGATTTTATGGCATTCAGTGAAGGATTACTAAACAGTGTAATTAAGAATATTATAAACACTGATATCTACAGATTAGATTGTCAAGAGTCACTTCCAACAGTTCATGACCCCAGGAGCTCTAGGATCCCTGAGCATCCTCAGTGAGGGGCGAAGAGCAGGAGAACAGAAAGCCAAATAGGGGAGGTCCACACCCACCAGAGATGAGGGCCCTCTCACACAAGGGTGAAAAAAGCAGAAGTGGAATTCAGCATATAGAAGGTCACACAGGAGACCACCAGCATCAGGACGATGTGGGTGGCTCTAGTAGCTGGAGGGCATTGGTGAGAGCTGTGGGGGTATGAATGTGCTGTAGCCTCTGGTGGTGTCTGTGCAGGTGAAGCACCAGGGAGATACTGGGCCAGGCCGTGAAGACAATGAACATGACACAGGACATGACCACATGATGGCAAACAAATATAAAAACCCAAGTGTGGGGAAGAAAGATGTTGGCCATTGTGGGACAGAATTTGGCTTAGCTCATGCCTTGCAGTGGCCCTCACAAAGATCCATGGGCAAGTATAGTCAGATCCTGGAAAAAGGCATTCAGTTACCTGGAGCAGAACAACTAGAAGCTTGGAAGCTCTTGTGGAAGCCATGGTAAATGAGAATGTCAGCCTCCTGATCTCTCCACAGTTGCTGACAGATTTCTGCATACACCTCCCTAGCTTGCCTGATAGCACAGCCAAAGGAACCCATCATTTCACCTTGGAAAGCATCCAGCAAGGTGTCATATCACTTGAGGAGCAGGCTGCTTCCATGATACAGCATCTGCATCCCCAGAAGAGAAGGAGGAAGACTGAAGAAAGGCAGCCTCAGTGCTGGTGATTATTTCTTTGCAAATAGTGTCAACACAGTACCGTGTGGACTGACACCTGGAGACGTCCCTGCAGACGACTCAGCTAGGTCTGCAGGGCAATGATCCAGTCCAGGCAGAGGCTTCCATAAATGCAGCCTCATTGCTTCAGAACAAATCAACCAACAAACAGTTACAGGTACACGATAGGTATGCTGTGCACGTGCTCTTGATTTTAGAAGGAAATTCAGTGAAGTTGCACAAAGGTGCAATGAGCTCTCTTACAAGGCGACAGGGCACAAAAACAGACTAGAGGCTTTAGAACCTGCTTGGCAATGAAACATCCCACAGCCCGGCTGACACCCCGCCGCAGGTACCTGCCCTGTCCCAGACTCTAACTGCACACCTCATTTACCCCATCTCTCCTGTGAGGGGCGTTTAACTGCGCGGCTCCATGTCGGACATTTGCCTCTAGCCCCAGTGAGCCCTACGGACCCGCGCACCCCCTTCCACAGCCCCCACCAGCTCTGATCACACCTCCCGGGGTCGTCTCAGGTGGGCAGGTCCTGCAACCTCTTCACCGCCCCTCCCCCAAGAGCCTCCCTGGGAGTCGCGGGGAGGGAGGGGGACGCAGAGTCCACTGAGGCTGGTTGGGTGGCCACACCGGCTGCCGAAACTTCTGTGGGGCATTGAGATCTACTCGGTGGGTGAGGGGCTTCACGTACACCCGCCCCTCAAAGACGGTGGCTAGCAGTCCAGCACGGTCACACTTGGGGACAGCGTCACAGCCAGATGGGGCCCCAGATGAAGCCCGGGAATGAGCCTTCCATCCCCGCCTCCCGCCCTGCCCCCAGCGCAGAGACCCGGATGCAGGCCACTCCTTCTGGCTCGGACACCAGGGTGCCAGCGGTTTCTGGAGAAAAGGGACACAGTGGACCCGGGATACAGCCCTACTGCCTTATAACACTATTATAGACCCCGTCCCCTCGTGTCTGGGACTTACCAGCGCTGTGACTCAGCATGACCCCCATGCCATGGGGACAGTGGGGACACCCATGGAGGCCAAGGTACGCAGTGTGTAACTCCGCACAGGCGTTCTCATCTCTCAGAAGAGAGATGGTCCCAGCAGCTGAGCTTGTCCTGCGCGAAGGGACATGGGGGTCGGGAAGGCACCCTCAACAGGGGGACACAGTCAGGGTGGGGGAAGGAGACCTCCCGGGCAGGAAGGGCCAGGGCTTTCTCTGCAACCCTGCTGTAAGGCTCTCAGCCTGCTCACCAAAGCCCCACCCTCCTGGTCTGAGCACCTGCCAGGGCCCCAGCTCCTACCACCGACTTGGATGGGGCTCCAATTTTTTAAAAAATTTATTTATTTATTTTTAGAGAGAGGGGAAGGGAAGGAGAAAGAGGAGGAGAGAAGCATCAGTATGTGGTGGACTCTCCCATGCCCCCTACTGGGGACCTGGCCCACAACCCAGGCATGCAACCTGACTGGGAATCGAACAGGCTACCCTTTGGTTCACAGGCCAGTGCTCAATCCACTGAGCCACACCAGCCAGCGGTACAATTTCTTTAAAAAAAAATTAGTGTATTGATTAATTTTCGAGAGAGACGGAGGGAGATGGGGTGAGGGAGAGAGAGAGAAAGAAATCATGTGGTGGTCCCACTCATTCCTACATTCACTGGTTGACTTTTGCAGGACCGCTGACCTGGGATCAACCCTGCGACCTTGGCATATTGGGTGATGCTCCAGCCACAATTAGTTTAATTACAAAATATACCATAATAATTTAGGGTGGTGGGCAGGGCAGAGATGGCAATGATGGAGAAGTGGGATGCTGGTAATTGAAGAAGAATAAAAAACACCATAATAATTGAATTGAGAACACCCCAATAATTTAATTTAAAAAAACAAGGGTAGGTACAATATCTATAAAAACAAAGAAACAACAAACACCCAAAAGATGAGGCTGATGGCCAGACCCAGGCCTGAGCCCAGGCTGACACAGCCACAGGAAGTCCTCACTGAGCACAGTCCTAGAGCCACGACAAGGTCCCGGTGACACCCATGTCCTGAGATCCTAGGTCTTGGTGGAACAAGGTTCTCCTGAAGCAGCAAGGACAAAGGAGCAACAAAGATGACCCAGCTGAAGAATGACCATGTCAGAGCCCACAATGCATGGAGCTTGACTGGTCCCAGCCCCGGCTGTGCCCTGCTCCTCACAGCCCCTTCTGTCCCCACCTGGGACAGACTCAGCACCCAGATTCTGGAAGGTTCCCAGGTTCTCAGTTATTGATCTCTTCTCTTGCATTGTAGGTTCTTCTCCTTCATTTAACCCATTGACCCTTTATAGCAAGAATTTAAAAACACAATTCAGCCCTGGCTGGTGTAGCTCAGTAGACTGAGTGTGGGCTGCAAACCAAAGGGTTGCCAGTTCGATTCCCAGTCAGGGCACATGCCTGGGTTGCAGGCCAGACCCCTGGTGGGGGCCATGTGAGAGGCAACCACACATTGATGTTTCTCTCTTTCTTTCTCCCTTCCTTCCCCTCTCTCTAAAAATAAATAAATAAAATCTTTAAAAAAATAAAAAAAATTCATACCCAGATTCTGATTTCCAACTGAGAAACGGGACATTAAAACTCAAAGGAACAGGAAGTGAGCACTATGATGGGGACTCTGCTAGGACAAGACAGTCCCCCGGGGGAGAAGACACAGGTCCTTGTGGGGAGGGTGGCCTGGTGACCAGCCCCTCACTGACACTGATAAGAACATGGACACATTCCAATGCCACTTGCAGAAACAGCAGTCAGGGATCCTGAAAGTTCCAAGGGGAAGCTGCAATGACTGCTTTAGCACCAAGTCCCCTACAAGGCAGCTCTGTCACACTGAAAAGAAAGTTATTGTGAACAAATTCAGGTCAGTCTCAGAAGTGGTCACAATATCCCACAGCCCACCACATGGTCAGAATGCTCCCCTCTGAGAATCCCCAAAATGTATTTGTGCCCCTTGGTCCAAATACCCCCAATTCCTGCCCATGGAGCCTCACCATTAGGAGCTGTGAGAGACACATCAATGCCCTGGGCACTGTTGCTGCCTGGGGAAGACGCATCAGCAGAGTTACAGGGTGGAAGAGCCCCCCTCACAGATCCAGCCCACACTCTCTCAAGGTTCCCAGACATCACCTCCCCAACACCCAGACTTACAGGCAGCCTGAGTGTAGCTCTCCCTGCCTCTGCCTGTGGGAAGAAAACATTCTGTGAGAAGTCAGGGGGAAGGCTGGGTCCCGTGACCCTAAAGGATTCCCACATTCTTGAAGCACAGGGAAGTTTCCAGAACTGTGGCTGAACATGAGGGTAGGGTCAGGAAATATGGGGAAGTACATGTGCAGGACTGGACCACCCACCCTTCTGGATGTCTGTCCATAGCAGGGACTTTCCCCTCTGACCTCTGACAGTGGGAATCAGTCCCCATCGCTAGAACCATCAGGTGACAAATGTGTCCCTCACTTTCCCAGGGGCCTCACTAAAGAGTCAATGTTAGGAAATAGGCCCCAGATGGACAAGCACCCAAGTGGGGATAGGATGCCCATTAACCAGGCAAAGCACACTTCTACCTGGGCTTGACCCTCAGGGGGAGAGGAAACTCATCCCCACCCCTTGCCCACCTGAGCACTTCCTCCTCCACAGCACAGTTCCAGTGACCACAGCTCCAAGGAGACCCAGGGCAGCAGCAATGCCCACGATGATGGTGACGGTGGTCTGAGGAGGGGGGTCTACGGGGGGAAGGTGAGAGGTCAACCTCAGGCCTGAGTCCTGACCCTGCTCAGGGACACCCTGAGGAGAGGCTCTGTGCCCACACCACCTCCTCACCCCATCTCAGGGTCAGGGGCTCGGGCAGCCCCTGGTGCTGCACATGGCATGTGTATCTCTGCTCCTCTCCAGGGGGCACGGCCACAGCTGCCCACTTCTGGAAGGTTCCATCCCCTGCAGGCCTGGTGTCCACTAGCTCCATGTCCTCGGTCAGGTCTTCCCCATCACACTGCCAGGTCAGGGTGATGTCCACAGGGTAGAAGCCCAGGGCCCAGCACTTCAGGGTGACCTCATAGTCAGAGATGGGGTGGTGGGTCATGTGTGTCTTTGGAGGGTCTGAGGGGAGGGTGAGAAAATTCAGGAACTCTGTATGGTCATGGGACACTCCAGCAGTGCTCTTGTGACCACCCTGAGAGTGGACAGGACAGCAGGGTGGAGGAAGGGTGTGCACCACCCAGACACCAGCCTGGGCAGAGGCACCTGGGATAATCTCCTATTTCTTGGAAAGTTCCAGAATCAGGGTAAGAACCTAGGGTAGGAGTGTCCAGGTCTCTAAGGGGAGACACAGACTCAGGTGGAGGTGGAATGACACAGAAAAGCAGGAGTCAGGCCTCCACAAATCGTCTCAGCCCCAGAACCAGGGGGAGCGTCCTGGTGCACCAGGTGCTGCAGGGTGTGAGGGAACAACTGGGGTGTTTCAGGGAGAGGCTGGGTTCCTTACTGTTCTTTAAAGAAAGCTGGTCCCGTGGGTGAGTCACAAAATAAGGACACCTGGGGGACTCTTCCCTCTCCTGAGCAGGAGGAACACTCTGACACTGCCCCATTTTCCTCCTCTCCTTGTAGGAAGCCGCCCCACCTATAGATCTCCTCCTCTGCAAGGCCCGGGTCCTGGTGTCCTGGTACCTGCTTGGAGCAGCTTCTCCTTCCCCTTCTCCAAGAGCAGGCGGAGCCGGTGCACACAGGTGTCCTCCAGAAAGACCCTCCTCACATCCTCATCAGGGACCCACACCAACTGGTGCCAGCTGAGACCCACCACTGAGTTGGCTGAGGTCCAGGAGCGCAGGTCCTCATTCAAGGCAATGAAGTCGGTGCCGTCGAAGGCGAACTGAGTGAACCCTCTGAGGAAGTGTCCATCCGACCCCACGACGCAGCCGGTCATTTCCTGGAGGGTGCCAGACACTGACCCAGCTACGAAGTTAGCCTTGCCCACTTAGACCAGCACAGCCCACACCTGGCCACAGCCTCAGGGTGCTTCAGCCCCCTATTTGGGGATGGGAGTCATTCCCAGACCTGGGTGGTGGTGGCTCACCTTCCTCGCTCTGGTTGTAGTAGGCCAGAAGCTTGTTCAGGTTTGCTCGAGAAGTCTGTTCATTGTGCTTCATTTCCTGTGTCTGGTCCTTCCAAAAATCTGGATGCTCCTGCTCCACCCACGGCTGCTCCATCCAGGGCACCCGCGGCTCCAGCCTTGGCCTCGCTGCGCCACTGTCGAACTGCAGGATCTCCGAGTCGTCCACGTAGATGACGCTGATGTACCGGTTCTTCCCGCGGCCCGGTCCATACGTGGCAGTGCTGACATATCTCAGGCTGTGGGGACCTGGGGGCAGGGAAGACGCGAGTCCTGGGGGAGCGGTGGGGCCCCTAACGGCAGGGGGTTTGGGGGACAAAAGAGAGGGCAGTGATTGAGAGGAGGAGGAAGGGGGCACTGCTGGGTGAAGCGGGAATCTGGGCCTGGGGTACTGGGACGCACTTTCTCCAGGTCGTTGGGCCCCCCCCCCCCCCGCCCCCGAGGGATCCCCTTTTTCCTGCCCGGCACTCACCGTCCCAGGTCTGGGTCAGGGCCAGGGCCCCAGAGAGCAGCAGGAGCAGGATTTGGCGTCCCATGACCCAGACCCTGAGCTTCTGGGAAAGAGAAGCTCTAGTGATGACGCGGATGGATTGTTTAGTGATCAGACAGCCAATGGGAGTGAGAACCCCCGGCAGGGTCAGGGTCCAGGCCTGGGGACCTGGCGCTTTGTCCAGAAGAGTCCTCCTGCCGGAAACTTCCCGCCCCTCCAGGAACGCCAGCCATCTGGTGCAGGGGAGCTGTGTAAACAGACAGAAGAGAGAGGGCAGGGCACTCATTTAACTATTTGTGTTCCTCATTCTGTTGACTCTTTACTGACCTCTCATCACTCTCAACACATCTCTGTCTGTCCTTTGGCTTCTCAGGAAGTGTTCTGCTCTCTGAACCTGATGTCACTTTAACTCGGTGTGATCACCTTAGCTCTGCACCTGTTACCCTCTTTACAGCATGAAGACAGTTGTGTTGTGCTGACTGACCACCTACTGGTTCCTAGGAATGATTTACAGGAAACTCCTACTGATGCTGCTGCTTTAACCTGGTTACAGAGGGATCTTATCTGAGAGATGATGACCAGGGACTTTACTGAGAGGGACATGCAGTAACTTCCATGGTGGACATAATCGGAGAGCTCTCATCAACTGGAAATGAAATCTTCCCAGCACGCTGAACTCACTGCTCTAACTCGGGCTTGTCACCTGGCAAAGATCCAGTGGCCAATGTTTACCCTGAGAGTCATGTGCACCTGGTGCAGCCGTGACTGTGGATGATGGGGAAGTGGGGAGGCCTCCTCACTTCCTCAGGGCAGTGCACAAAGAAATGCAAAACTGGTTGTAGAATTACTGGATGCCACACAGGACCCAAAACCATGGGCCATTGTCAAAATTCCGGGGCATTCTAGAGCTGCCACCATGGAAGGGAAAGGAAGTCATTTTGCTGATGATGACGCTGCCAGGCACACAGCATTGGACAAATTATCCAGATCCAAAAATGTTCCCTGCTTTCTATTAAATCAATGAAGGATTACCTTTTACAGTTTAGACAGACAGCTAAGGAGGAAGAAAAGAGAATATGGCAACAAAAGGCAAAAATGTTGACCCAGACAGACAGAAGTGACTTGAACTCAATCAGAACCTATCTTACCTGTAGGGCCCCGACTCCCTGCACTTGAACCTGTACATGAGCCACCACACTGGGGTCCTGGGAAGGTGGTTTCATGGAGTGAACGATGTCACTGGAGACCTTCTCCTGCTGTAGCTCATGAGGAGGACAGCAGATGTCCTATCTGTCCAAAGTGCAGCCCAGGGACCCACTCCCTGGATCCCAAGGACATCTCCCACTCCTGTGGGTCCACGTGAGGTTTGGCAATTGCATTTCATCCAAATGCCACCATGTCAGGGACACAAATGTACATGAGTGATGATTGTGTGTTTCCTCACTGGTTTGAGGTGTTGCCTTGCAGGAGAGCAACAGCCTTAACGCCTAGCAATTCTTGTTAGAAAGACTAACTCCCCTTTGGGGAGATCCCTCTGAGTGACATTGTGTCTGAGGGACTCATTTCACTGGGCAAATCACAAAATCCATCTGGAACTTTTGATCTCTTCTGCAGCACTTTCACTGTGCCCCTCACCCCCACCTTCTGGACTCGGGGATGCACCAATGGGACATCAAAATTCAACTGGACAGAACTTCAGAAGCCTTTACTCTGCCCTGGAGAGAAGCTCTCCCTAGAGTGCAACTCAACCCGAGAGCCACACCCTTTGGTGAACATGAACCTTCTCCTTTGGGATTGGTCACTGGCCTCCCTGTACATCTGGATGAAGGGGGGTGTGGACCAATTTTGCTGAAAGGAGACCTTCTACATCACTGTCAGGGACTTATTAACCAGCTTAAAAACACTGATAAATTAGTAAACAATTTATTTCACACTGTGCTCCTGGAGACACAGATTTCAAAGATCATGGCTTACAACCAGATTAGGTCTGTTGGAAGACACATCAAACAGAGTACTCTTTGCAACCTCATTGGAGGGACCTTACCAGGTACTAATAACTAACCTGTGTGTATCCCAATTCAAAGGAGTTAACTCCTGGGGTCACATTTCTCACTTAAAAAAGGCACCTAACAGTGCATAGAGATCTGCCCCTTCCCTGACACTCACCTCCATCTACAGCGGAGATCAAGGACTTTTCAGGGATGAGAAGCTACCAACCAGCAGGCAGACAGCTGTCCCAGCACAGCAATGGGGCCTGTAGGCTCACAAATTGATGCTGCTGTTGTCTGACTGTACATTAAGATGATTTTATATTGTTATCCTCCTTATGGCTTCCTCATGGAAACAGTACCCGTCTAGCCAGACCCCCTTCCTTCATACACATGGAAAACTTAACTTGGGTACCTGCTCATCTTTTCCACCTACTAGACAATGGTATTGTAATTATTCATTATGATAATGAAGTTAATGCTTTTTTGGCCACACACTGGGCTTCTCCTACTATTATTACAAGCTTTGGTACTTTTTTTTTCTCAATAAGTCTGTTATAAAGAACTCATCTTGGGGAAATTCCTCCAAGAACATGTCCCCGATGATTCCTCTGGTGGAATCACATATGGAGCTACCTGGATGAGTATCACATACTAGCTTCAGCAATGGATGATGAAGAGCTAAGAAAAATACCTGGATGTGGTGGGAAAGGCTTGCAGCGACCTGCCCTACCTGTCACAGTGTGTCTGGTCCTCGGACTCACCATCCATGTGCCAGTGGCTTGATGTCCATGAAATAAGAAAAAACAAATCAATGTGCTCCCATTTCAAAAAGTATTGTTATTACTCAGTGGGCAGATATGTCTGTAAATACTCCACTCTCTTGTGACCTGGATGTTTGTGGGAGGCCCTATGGAACACTCAAACTCTAGCTCATTTGGGGGTAACTTCTACCCATTTATCTATGACATGGGAGGCTCAACATTTCCAGGGTCCATTCAGTGTACCCCCATTTAAACTTCTGATGTTTAAATTGCTAGATGGCATGAAGATGTGATTCATCCTGGGTCTGTATGTTAGGTCATGAGAAGGTCTCTACTTTACCTGAGTGTCTTTTTTTTTTTCAATCCTCACCAGAGGACAGGTTTGTATTGGTTTTAGAGACACAGAGGAAGGGTGGGAAGGGTGAAGAGAGAGAGAGAATGAGAGACGTTGGTTGCCTCCAAAACATGCCCCGACCAGGGCTCAAACCCTCAACCTCCAGCAGTATGGGATGATGATCCAACCAACTGAGCCACCTTGCCTGGGCTACGCGAGTATCTGCAGCCACTAGCCCCTCCTCCTATCTGGTGACCATCAATTTGTGATACCTGACATGATCTTGTCTTTTTTTCCCTTAGGCTGGTGGAAAAGAAAAAAAAAATCCCTCTGTGATTCTAATTTGTGGCCAAGAAGTTGCTTTAGGAAAGGATGATTGGTCCTTACAGATGGGGAAAAACCAAGGTTCTCTGTTTCAAAAATGATTGTTTAAGTTTGTATTGCTTCTTTCTGTTTTTCAAAATGTTTACTAATGAGCCAGTTGAGAATGGTGAGGCCAGATCTGTGTTTACCCGGTCCTTAATTCGCTCCTGGTTGGGGAGTTCAAAGGGAATTCTGTGGGGAAGTTCTATCGGCTGCAGAAGGAGCAGTGATGTACCAGCTGAAATGAGGCAGGAGAGTCCTGCCTTACTCTCCTCCATGGCTGTGCCTTGGAGGAGGCACTTCTGAAGACAGGAGGAGGGCGAGGTGGGGGTGTGCTACATGGGTTCAGAGAATTGCGCTGAGAGTTCACGTATAAATGAAGTTTGAGGTTTGGTTTCTGTTAAATAGTTTCCTGCTTACTTGGCCTTTATTGTCCAAACCTAAAAAAACCTAGATGAGACTTGGTTTGTGAGTGACAACCACCTACACTCCCAACAATGTTTGGTAAATGGAGTAATTAATTCTAAAACCTGTTTCCGGTCAGGTCACAGGTATCCAACAGGTGGCTCCTTCACCCCAATCAGAGGTGGCCTGGCACCTTCTGACCTACTTTCTGAACCCCCTGCTGGAGGTCCAGGACTTGCCTGACCCCAGGACTGAGCAGTTTAGTAATGTCTCTAAATTTATGTCTCTTCATGCCCTAGGACCTCTTGACTTAGCCTGGATTTTTGATGTCAAACAATAGCCCTGCCAGTTGGCTCAGGTGATTGGAGTGTCCTCCCATCCCCCAAAAGGTTGTAGGTTTGATTCCGCATCAGGGCACGTGCCTAGGTTGAGGGCAACTGATCAATGCTTCTCCCTCTCCCTGCCTCTTCCTCTAAAATCAATGAAAATAAATCATATCCTTGGGTGAAGAATAAAAAACAAAATAAATATAATAGAGAGTGTGGCACATTCCATGGCGTCATTACTTTTAGCCTTCCATGTCAGATCATGGGGCAGCTGCTGAAGAACAAAAAAACAAGGGGGTGAAACTGAAACATTTCTCTAGCCCTGGCTGGTTAGCTCAGCTAGTTAGAGTGTTGTCCCAATATCCAAGGTCAGAGGTTTGACACACCCCACCCCATCAGGGCACATACAAGAATCAACCAATGAATACCTCAAGAAGTAGAACAACAAAGCACTGTTTCTCTCTCTCTCAAACCAATCAATAAATTTTTTTTAAAAGACACATTTCTCTAATATGTGTGCACGGTGGCCCCACTCAGGACAAGTAAGAGACAGAATGAAAATGTCATGTCTGAATTTTGGGGGAGGATGTCTGAGTCAACCAATGATCAAGGTCTTGGAGAGAAAAGATCCCTTGAGCCTCTCAGCCCATGCTCACCAGGTGAAACGAGGCCACACCTGGCCACTGACCTATCACAGAACTCTTTAAGGCCCCTGGGATCAGTGCTGCCTGGGAGTTAACATCTGAGCTGCTCAAGTGGGAATGTTCTCAACTGTAGCCTTCACCTGATGGCCTCTGCCTTCCCCTCGAGTCTCTTTGTGAAGGAGAGTTGTACATAATACTACCAACCCCAGAGGGCTGAGGTGCCCTAGGGCTCTTTGG